ACTTTTAGAGACTTTCCTGCCATCTGGGCTGAAGGAAGCCACCGGGGATAGCAATTAACCACCCATATGTAGTGGTTGAACTGACACCTCAGGTGCAGCCTGTGCACCTTCAACAATACCCAGTAAGCTGAGATGCTAGACTAGCCATAAAGAAGCACATCGACTGGCTCAGAGAAGCCAGAATCCTGGTTGAATGTCAGTCTCCCTGGAACACTCCTTTCCTTCTGGTAAAGAAGGAAACCTCTGGAGACTATCGGCCAGTCCAGGACTTGCAAACTGTTAACACCACCCACGGTGTCCTTACACCCCACCATACCCAATCCATATACTTTGCTGGGTGCTCTCCCCACTGAATTTGAATGGTTCACTTGTCTGGAACTCAAGGATGCTTTCTTTTGCTTGCAACTAGCAGCCATCAGTCAACCGATATTTGCCTTTGATGGAAGGATCCAGACACCCAAAAGAAAACTCAGCTCTCACGGACTCGGGTCCTCCGAAGGGTTCAAGAATTCCCTGACTTTGTTTGGAGAAGCGCTTGCTACTGACTTGGAAAATTTTCCAAGCCAAGAGACTGGACGCACTCTACTCCAATAGGTTGATGACCTGCTTGCTGGAGCAACCTGAAAAAATTGCTGGAAGGGAACTCAAGAGCTGCTCCAGCTTCTGTCCCAGGCTGGATACAAAGTCTCAATGAAGAAGGCTCAAATCTGCCATACCCAGGTATGATTCCTAGGATTCATTGTGACTGAAGGACACCATGCTCTTGGGCATGAACAAAAGCAGGTGGTATATAGATTGCCTCAGCCCACAACCCTGAAGCAACTATGTGAATTCCTGGGAGCCGCAGGATTCTGTAGAATCTGGATACCAGGCTTTGATGAAAAGGCTAAGCCACTATATGAAATATTAAAAGGTCAAGAAACCCCCTTCAAATAGGGACCTCTCCAAAAGCAGGCTTTCCAGGATCTTAAGTCAAGTCTTGGAAAAGCCCCAGCTTTGGGACTCCCAGAGTCAAGAGTTCAATCTATTCGTACATGAAAAAAGTCAGACAGCACTAAGAGTTCTGACTCAGTCCATTGGACCTTGGGAGAGACCCATTGCTTACCTATCTAAAAGATTAGACTCAGTGGCATCTGGATGGTCCCTTTGCCTACAAGACCTTACTGCCACTGTTGAACTGATAAAAGAGGCAGACAAGTTAACCTTAGGCCAAGTTATTAATGCCTGGGTCCCCCAGTCAGTGACCACACTGATAAACACAAGGGGATAAATGGCTACCCAGCTCTAGGGTAGCCCACTACCAGGGCTTATTGATTGGAAATCCCCAAATTAGACTCCAGACTCTGCAGACACTCAACCCCACTAGCTTCCTCCCGGCCACGCTGGGGCCTCCTGACCACAACTGTGAAGAGACCCTTGATGAGGTTTTCTTCTGGACTTCCTGATCTTGTAGACACACCACAGAAGGCCCCCTACCTCAACCTCTTCACTGATGGTAGCAGCTACATGAAGGATGGAATTCGATGTGCTGGCTATGCCATTACCTCTCAGGACACAGTGATCGAGGCTGGAGCACTGCCCTAAGGATGGTCTACTCAGCAGGCTGAACTCTGGCATTAATCCGGGCCCTAAGATTAGTGGCCAGTAAGAGGGTAAACATCTACACAGATTCATGATATGCCTTTGCTATCCTACATGTTCATGGAGCTTTGTACTAAGAGAGAGGACTTCTCTTGGCAGAAGGAAAGATGGTTATAAATAAAGAGGAAATCTGCCAGTTATTAGAAGCAGTCTAGGAGCCCAAAGAAGTAGCAATCATCCATTGCAGGGGAAACCAGAAGGGGGAAGACTCCATCACCCTGGGAAACAAGTTGGCAGACCAGACGGCCAAGGTTCCTGCCACTGAATCCCAACTGCTGTAGCCAACAGGTTACCACTTACACTCCCGAAAGCCCCTCTTAGACCTCCAGTGAACATCACTGGGAAAAGTCAGAGGGAGCAACCCTGGGAAAAGACAGATGGTGAAGACTGCCAAATAAAAGAATATGCATACCTCAGTCCCTGGGATATTCATTAGTAAAGCAGCACCATGAGTTGACTCACTGGGGAAAGACTAATCTAGAAAACATGCTAAGCCAATAATATTTTTGAGTCTCCTGCTGTCATTGTGTGCAATTGTGAGTGTGTGGTGTGAGACCTGTGCCAGAAATAATCGCGCCCAGGGGCCAATTCTGCTGGCTGGAATACAAGCCACCAAGACAACTCCCTGGAATTGCTGTAGACAGTCTTCAAAGTGCGACCATGGGATGAGCAGTTAGCATAATGGCTATGTCACTGGACTCCCACTAGTCGACCGCGATTTGTGTCCCGGACCCGGTGGCTTAAAACTCACGCCGGGCGCGTGTGTGTGTGCGTGCCCAAGATCCCAAGAGGAGAATGGAGGAGAAGGGATTGAGGCATGGCCATCCCCCCTGGGGGGTGATTTCTTGCTTTCTGTCTCTCTGTCTCTGTCTGTCTGGCAAGCGCACGCGCCCTATAACAAAAACCTCTTCAAAAAACATAATCCACTTATTTTAAAAACCATAAAACTCATATGACATTCTTGAATAATACATCTTAAAGTAGGTTTACTCAATATTCAAACAGTTCTAAAAACATGTTTAAAATAAAAACAAGGATTCCCATTAGTTTTAAAGAAAAAGAAAAGAGGAGAATATTTCTGAACAACCAAGACAATTGAAATGAATCAATGAAATGACTTGAGACTGCTAAGTGAGATCCGTGTGGGGTGGCTCAAGCTCAGCCTTGACAGACATGGTGGAAAAGCTGGAGACTCAGAGACAGGGACCTGCTCTTCAGTGCCTTGAGCCAAGCTGTTGATATTTTTAGTGCTTGAAGGACTGCTGGTTTGCATTTTTCAGTTATACCCCAAAAGTGGGGAATTCAAATATTCAAATATGAAATAGTTAGGCATTGCCTGGATGAAAGGTATCATTGTAATCTAAAATAAATATAATTAAAATAAGAAATAAATTTGCAGTCCACAAATTCCCATCCTCTCAGACAGCACCACAATTTTAGAACTGAAATCTCTAACAATTCAGCTATTTTCAATGGGCAAAAAGCCATTTTGTTTGTGAAGATAATGAACAAAGGATACATTCTTTTCTTTGCCAGAAGATACTATCCAAACAGGCCTCAGAACCAGCTGGAGAATTCAAATACTGTAATTATAAAAAAAGAAAAGAAAAAGAAAAAGGAAGGAAGGAAGACAGCCATGATATAGAAAGGAAATGTGGTAATAGTGGTCAGTTCAAAAAGAGAGAAAAAAAAAAGAGGAATTCACATACCTCTGTTGTAATGCAGTTTGACCACTGACACATGTGCTAGACAAAATGTACAGTTCTGTGTGCATTTCCACATCTGCTGTTAAATCTTGTTTTAGTTGGAGAGGACTAAATTTAGAGGAAAGGATAGTGAGAGACAGAGAGAGAGAAAGAGGTAACATAACAGGGCTATTTCAAGTATTAGTTTCTGTTTTATTTGTTTAACAGAACAAGATTATTGTACAGCTATTAAAAGAAAGAAGAGCATGCCTCTGTTGTAATGCATCCTCATGAAAGGAATGCTTCTTTTGTTTTATAACTTTCTAAGCTCAAAGTCCTTAGAAATACTATTACTATTCATGAGTTCCATGAAATACATTCTATAGAACACCGATTCTAGAAGGTATCCAAAGAAAAAGGGGTTCTGTGGTCAAACATTTCAAAGACACTGAGAAGTACTGAGAAAAAAACTTAATTCATTCTGTGTATCCAAGTATTTCCTAAACTTATTGGGACACAGATTAGTTTTTATTTAGAAATAGATCTAAGTACATCACAGAAACTAGTGTTTTGTTCTATTATTATTATTATTATTATTATTATTATTATTGTTACTGTTATTGTTATAATTATTATTTTAGCAACACTGAAAGATGCTAATCTGGTTTTTAGACTGCAGAGTTGGGGAATAAAATGAATAAGCAGGTATTTCAAAGCAGATAGACAACACCCATCTCTAGAAAAATTTCAGTGAAGTTAAACTTATTTTGAAATATAATTTCTTTTCCTGTATCATTTGGTATTATTGACAACCTCTAAATGGCTGAAGGACTAATCTACCCAACAAAACCAAATGATACTCTTGTAAATTAAATTTCACAATCCCATCACTTATAGGACTGGTTCCCACACAAGACTCCGTAGTTCTTATGTGAATTACAAAAATGCAAGCAAAAATGTGGGGAGCCATTATTCTAATCCTCTATCTTCAGAGGCTACTTGGTGGTTTAAAATCTACTAGGTTCTGAATTCAGAATACCATTCCATATGGTATCTAGAGATGAAAAATAGCTCTGGAACCAACCTTTGGAGTCTTAAAAATCCAGTCAAGATTGTCCCTCACCCCCACCTGCCACTGCATCTTACATCAAAAGACTGTCCAGTCAATGATGATATGAGCTGTCTTCCACACTTGATTTCCTCAGACTTTCCATGTGCAGAAGGAATCTAATCTCTGTGTCTCTCCCCTAAGTCCCAAAGAACACCTCTTAACTTTCAAAGAAAAAAAACTCTTCAAGGCATTAGTGAGCTCCCTCACCTACTGTGGGCTTCTATTTCTTTTGTTTTTGTTTAGTGGGGTCAGGATGTAAAAGCATATCATTCTACTAGGCAGAAGTTAGTTACAAAAGGAATAAAGATATAGGAATAGGTGATTTAAAAAAATATCTGGTTAGCCAAGGTATTTAGAGGTTCCCAAAAGTTTGAGGTGTTCTAATACGATTCTAAGGGCTAGCTCTGTCAGTCTGGATTTAGATTTACAGTCTAATCTCTAAAACCTTAGGACTTCTTTTAAAGATGGTGGACCTTTATACCTGGTTTCTTTAAACTAAAAATTCAAAATTAAAGGAAAGGCCAAATTTCAAGATCCAAGACTATACATTATAAATAACTTACCTCAACTTCTACCTTTGTGAAGGGCTGGCAGAAAGTAAGCACACAAAGCTGAATGCTGAAGAGAAAAAAAAAAAGAAGGCTAATTTTACAAGGTAATATAAGCACCATCTAATACTATTCCATAATCCTTTCTTTACACACAAGCATTCTCATGTCATATTTTATATATATATTGCATTTATAAACACTACAGTATAGCTATACAACCTCTTGGGTTTAAAAAACTATATTTTTAAAATTCTAATTTACTGCCTTATATGACCCAAGTATAATTTGTTTACATTTCAAAGGGAAACACCTATTTACCATGTTCTTTCTTTCTCTTTTATTTATTAATGATAGAGTGTGTAAGAGAGAGCCATGCACACTCCACAGAGTCTGGTCACACCATGATCCCCTTCCTCCAGTCTTCTGGCCCATTAAAACTGGGGCACTCATGTGTGTCTGGCACTAAGTAATTGTTCTTTTTTTTTTTTTCTTTTTTTCAGAGAGATTTTTTTGCTATAGGGTGTGTGCACTCACCAGAGAGACAGAGAGACAGAAAGCCAGAAATCACCCCCCAGGGGAGAAAGCCTCCTCACAATCCCTTCTCCTCCATTCTCCTCTTGAGATTTTGGACTTACATGAACATGTATCCCACATAAGTTTGAAGCCACAGGATCCAGGACTCAAACCATGGTGGACTACATGGGAGTCCAGTGACATAACCATTATGACACCTGCTGGCCCTGCAACTATTCTTGACATTCAAAAATGAAACCACCAAATGCAATACCAAACATGTATTTGTGAGTCAGAGTTGCAGCTGAACAGACTAAATCCCAGACTCTGAAGTTTCCTTGACTATACAGAATTATGGGTTAACACCCTAGAGAAACCACTCAAGGTCACATTTTAAGGTACTTAATGTATTTACAGGAAAACTACTGAGTAGAACCTTACATATCTAAACATTGTTTTTTTTAATTTAATTTTATTATTATTATCATCATAATCTTCTTTGTATTACATTGGGTTACATATAATTTTACAGTGTATTACACTGCTTTGTCAAAAGGAAATGTCATGCATGTCAGTCAATACATAGACATTAATCTCCCCACTTCATCATTCAATATCTTTTCTATGTTTTTCCAATCATTATTATTATTGTTCTAATTATTTTTTAAAACAGTCAATCACTATTTCTCATTTTACTTGTAAAAAGACTTTACCCATCATGAAATACTTCTCAGACCAATCCAGTTGAGAATACTATACATATCATCACCAACAACATTGTTTTTTTTTTAAGAGAGACTTTTATGCCATGTACGCTCACTGGAAAGAGAGAGACAGTAAGTGAGAAATCACTCCCCAGAGGGGATTACCATGCTGTAATCCCTTCTCCATTCTACTCTTTGGATTGTGGGCACACATGCACACGTGCCTGGTGTGAGTTTTAAGCTGCTGGGTTCAGGACTTAAACCATGGCTGACTCTGTGGGAGTTCAGTGACATAACCATTACGTCTGCTGGTCCCACATTTCTAAACTCTCTTCTGATATTTAAAAAGAAAAAAAAATCAGTGGGCTTTCCTTAAAAGCAGAACACTTATCAAAATTGTCTCAGTTATCAATAAATGTTTTAGCTATGAAAAAATATTCTGAAAAGTTTCAAATTTCTTTGTGAAGTTAGACAAAGGCTTTCTTTAAAATGGTTAAGCAATCTTCCCAAAGATAATTTGTGAAATAGTTTTTCCTCCTTGCAGCTTTCTAGTGTATATGTAGACTCTCTGGGTAAGATTTCTATGGGATTTTTAGTTTAGACAGCTGATCCAGAAATCAGGCAGAGTGGATTGGAATACATGTTGAAGAAAACAACCAATCATCCTTTTTTGCTATTACAAAATTAAAATATGACTTATTTATAGAAATTACTTGAAGGAACTTAGGAAATGTAGAGATTTAACAAGATAGTTAAAAAAATATTTAAAAAGTAGATTTACTACTGAGGTGTAAATCATGCTGGGTAAAGTCTCTTCACAATCTAAATCATGTATAGCGATTTAATGTACAAATAATAATAAAAAATTAAAAGAAATGTAATACACTGTAAAGATACATGTGATTAAATGCAATATTAAAAAATATGATAATAGTAAATAAAATTAAATTTAAAAAGATTTATAACTTTCCTAAATTAATTATAAACTAATAATGTCAGTTCTTGAACCTTTCATCTGAAAGGGAAAATTTTTTTACTATCTAGTAACTCCAAACAAAAGCGATCCACATTCTCTACCACAAAGTAAATTGTATCTAAACTATTTAATAGGAGTCTTGGAATTCAATTATTTGAATGTATATTCTGTTCTGAAAATTCTGAGTGTTGTAAAAAATAAATAAATAAATAAATAAATAAACAAACAAACACACATCATACCTCATTAAACCTGTCTTGTCCACATTAGAGATGAACTAAAAACTTTCAAGAATGAGGAAAGAGTTTTCCCATAGCTGACTCTTCTCTAAGTGTAGTCCCCCATTCTCTTCTCCCTTAGGATATCTGCTGTGGTGTAAAAATCTTGTCTTTAAAATCTAGGTCTAGAATAGCACTGGGAACAAGGGCAATTCAGAAAATTGATTTAGAAATAATAGATACATGGGCCCAATAGGCAGCATGGTGGTTAAGGTACTGGACACTCCCACGTGGCCGACCACTGTTCAAGTCCCAGACCTGGTGGCTTTCCTTTTTCTCTCTCTGTGTGTCTCTTTTTGGTCAAATTAAAATAAAATTAATGAATAAATAAAATAAAATAATTATTTTTTAAAACAAAGTAATAGACACAGTGCTAACAATAAGGTTAAACAGATCAGAAGACAATGGTGGAAATGAGATTTGCCATAGTGCAGAATGCGGTGTGACATTTGTACAAAACAAAGTTGTGTCTTTTAAAGAGTTTGTGTTTGCTTACAAATCCTAAGAAATCTTTGACTCTTAAAATATTTTTTAGCTCTTTCTCTTCTGAATTCTCTCTCCTATTTTCTTTTATCTTCTATCACATACTTCCCAGGTTAGAAGGTTAGATTAACTAAACTATTTTATTTTATAAACTAAACCATTTTATTTTCTACTCCTGATCTTCCCTCCAGAAGAGCCTTCCCCTAGTTGATCTCTACATCTACACAAATTGGTATGTAACAACAACAAAAACATCATATTGAACCCAAAGTCACTATAAGTATAAGGGATTTAGCCTGTAAAGGCCCAAAGGATGACACGCTTTAGGAAATACAAATAAGATTTTAGGTACTTATTTTGCTAAAATGCCCCTCCCACCACCTGTACTTGCTTCTCCTAAGTCTCCCTTGTGTAAAGATCAAAAACTAAGAATTCAAATTCAGTAATAGCATGAAACATATATTTGAATCAAATGAATAAATGGATTTCCTATTTCTCTATCTAGATATCCTTTACAATTTATGTTGTTTATTTTTTATGTTACTTGCTCAATTTCACCTATGAGGGACAGAAGCATAACAGAAACATAAATGTTTCACACTTGCTAATATTGTTCCACTAGCCCATCAGTTGCTTATTCTAATTTAAATGTATTATCTCAAAGCAAATTACATACACAAAAAATGGAGAAATTATGCAGTATTAAAAAATTCTAATTTTTAGAAGTTGGTTGGGTTATATGAAAGGTATCTAAAGCCCACAATACGCTTGAAGGCAAATGAAAATTTTCTTTCAGACATTTCCAGTGGTGGCACCTACCCATCAACAATGTTATTTGAGTACTATGCTTAACAGTATTAAAACTGGGCAAATTTCCAGGGAAAGTCCCCAAATCCAAGTGTTTCATATGGCTCGTCCCAAAATTTAAACAGGCTGATATTTATCCAGAGGGAACTAAACAAAAGATCTTGAAAGTAAGTTTCTACAAGTTCTGTGTTTTGGTAAAGGCATGTTTCACTTTAACTTCCGTAATAGTGAAACTGTATGTGTCTCTTCTCTTAAGATGCTTATAGAAACTGCTGATCACAATGATTTTAAAATCTAAGAACAGAACTGAAATTTTGGTTAGCTATTTTCTCAACTCATACAAAATACCACACTATTTTAGGCTATATGACTAAATTGCCCTGAACTGCTAAAACAACTTATTAATGTACAGATGGAGAAACTAGACAATGTTAAATATGCAATGGAAATAAAACTATAAAATTAAATCTATGTATAATACAAACTAGGTCACTGCAATAGTCTTTTTTTTTTTTTTTTTGGGAGGGGTTTTTTTTATGGGGCTCCCGCAAGACACAGAGACAGAGAGACAGAAAGTGAGAAATCACCCCCCGGGGGGATGGTCATGTCGCAGTCCCTTCTCCTCCACTCTCCTCTCGGGATCTTGGGCACGCACCCACACGCACCCGGCATGAGTTTTAAGCCACTGGGTCCAGGACGTGAACTGCAGTCGACTACATGGGAGTCCAGCAACATAGCCATTATGCTAACTGCTGGTCCCACTGCAATATTCTTTACAAATTGGTAGATAAGCATTTGAGACTCATTTGAACATGACAGATGACTAGAATTCTGAACATGGGCAACATCAAGGGTTAATGGGCAAGATAGTGATGCTCCCTATAGAGACATCAGTTACAAGACTTAAAACTCTGATTAAACATCTTTACTCTTAGAAAAACAAGTATTTTAAAAAAATAATTAAATTGTCTTTCTTTTTCTTCATTAAAATAAAATTTTATAGTAATAGACATAAGTGACTTACAATGTATATCCTTGCCATGTCCAAGTCACGGTATCCTGCAAATAGCAAAAGTATTTAAACCTTCAGCCCAGAGGAGAAACACCACAGAAAACAACAATATTATTTTAATATTGAGATTCATGTACTTTTTCCCCCTGAAATTAAAAGCAACATGTTGAAAAGTAAAATAAGCATATTATGATTATTAAAGGATTCATTAATCTGGAATTCTTTATATTGAACTCTGTATGTACTATATTTTTTTTCATCTGATAACTATGATAGCTACTAAGTGACTAATGGGCAGGTAGCATATACAGTGTGAATATACTGGACAAAGAGATGATCCATGTCCCAGCAGGACAGCATGAGCTTTCATCATGCTACTCAGTAAGGCACACAATTTAAAACTTATGAATTGTTTATTTCTGCAATTTTCCATTTACCATTTTAATTTAATTATTTGAGTTCATTTTAAAATCAGACTGCAGTTGAACATGGGTGGCTAAAACAGTGGAAAGTGAAACCTCAGATAAGGAGACACTACTGTGTATCTATATAGCAAAGATTCACCTTCCTTAAGTCACCAACTATCTTTTTATGAAACAAATTGTTCTGAATTTTTAAAACACTATTGAATGTGCTTAGCTATTTTTCTCCTAATAGGAACATATCCAAATAATTAATTTTCATTCCAAAAAAACCCACATCATTTCTCAAAAAAAAGGGGGGGTGGGTTAGTTGAGAGAAAAGATTAATGTAGTGCATAGTGAATGAATTTAAATATGCATTGGACAATAAATTTAAACCTACTAGAAAAAGCATGATGAATAAAAATCTGACAGTTTGAGGCCAGCAAGTGCTGTGGTGGTTAAGGTGCTGGACACTCCCACATGGTTGATCACAGTTCAAGTCCCAGGTCTGGAGGCTTGCTTTCTCACTTTCCCCCTCTCTCTCTCTCTGGTCAAATTAAAATAAATAAATGAATAAATAAAATTAAATGAATAATTCTAAAAAAAAAAAAAAAGTCTGACAGTTTTAATTCATTTTTTAAAACCACAAACCAAGGTTGAGAAACAAAACACTGAATAGAAAATCAGATTGATGAGAATGTTTAATCCTAAATTTTTATTAATTTTGTCAAAGGGTTCCTACACTTGCCAGAGAGACAGAAAGAGAAAATAAGAGAGCATCTCTCCTCCTTGGGGTGATGGTCATACTGCAATCCCTTCTCCATTTCTCCCTCTTTTTGTGACTTTGGGCATGCATACATATACACTGAGTGTGTTTCTCAAGCCACTGAGTCTGGGACTTAGACCACATTGTCAGCCATGGGGGATCCAGCATTTTCAACCACAATTCTATCAGATGGCCTTAGAACTCCTAATCTTCAATAGCATAAATAATCAATAATTACTTCCTGCCCTTTATACATAAATTCTCTAGTCCAGAAAGTTCCTCTCAGAACCAAAATATCCTCTACTCTCAAACACTTTATTTAGAAAATGGTGAAACAATCAATACTCGGAGGACAAAAATATACCCAGCTAGAGAAGAAATTACTTATTTCCTGAGCTAACTCTGGACTTTATATGGGATATTAAGTTCTTTTCAGGTATTTCCTTATTGACTTAAGCTACTTGCCAAGGGTCACACAGCTAGTAAGTACTAAGGGAGTAATAAAAGACCAAGTCTTTTCCAGATTTATCTTGCTATTATAATCCTTCTCCACCTGTAATGACCACCAAATCAGAAAGATTACTTCCAGCCTTCATGAAAATCACAAATGTCTACTACCCAGTCTAATGAGACCCTAACTCTGAGGCTTAATCATACAATCATAGTGACAATAGAGACAAGACTAAGGAAATGTCTTTTGGAAGCTTAGTAATGTTTAATACAATATTTAAAACAATATTTAATATTGGCATCAACAAATATGTTTCTATCTTGCAAAACTTTAAAAACTGGACATGGCAAGCAAAATGAATCTGCCCACCTGTTTTCATCATTTATTTTACATCATCACATCCTTACTCAAATAGTAAAAGGGTCCCCAGAGCATCTGAGCCATCTGAAATATTTCAAATTCTTTCCACAGTAAAATACTATGCTTACCAGCTTGTTTAGGTATCTGAGGAGGACTGGCTGCACTGGAACTCCTGGAATGAAGGCTCCTATAACCACAATGAAAATTGATCATGGATTTTTCATGAATAGAAATTTTACCCACCAAATTTAATAATACGTAGTACAAATATATGAAATACTTTAAGAATATACATAACAGAAACTATTTAGTAAATGTTGGCAAATTCCTAGTGTTTACCAAAATGAGGAATTCTTAAAATTAAGTATTTAAGCAAAATATTAAATATCTTGTGCCTGAACCACTTAAAATAATTACTTACATATTCTTCTACTTATTTTCATATTCCAAATGATATGTAGGACAGGCATACAGTAGGATTAAAATTAATGTAATGACAAAATCAAGACAAGGAGAGAAGAAAATCTTGATGAAACCAAATATTCAGGGAAAGAACTACCACACTTGATGGAAGTGAGTCATAAGAGTTATAAATTATGATGAGTTTTAAAGAGTTATAAATTATGACAGACTTTATACTGTTAAAAGGCAGTACACCGTAGAAGGCATTCAGAAATATTATAATGGTAGAAAAATAAGTTTGCTACTTTATAACATAGGACCCTAAGAGTCTGTGAGATTTCCTTTGGGAAAAAGAAAAATGTTGGTGGTTTCACACACATAAGTACTCGGAGGGGACACAATAAAGAAGAAGGAGTTATAATACCCAAAGAAAAGCAAAGGAGGGAGCTCTGGGGATTCATGATGCTAAAATCTTTCTATTAGAAAAAAAAAAAAAAAACTCAGAGCAAAATAAACCACTGTTTTGAATACTATCAAACATAATTTAATTTTTCTCACCTGGCTTAAAAGTAATCAAACAGGAACGATTTGTACAAGTACCTTCTGGGAAAATTAATACCTTGGGAAAAAAGAAACAGATTTAACATTTCAATCTAATAGATTACCTTTTTACTGCTTTTCTATAACTTCACAAACAGTTGCCAATGCTTAGAACACGAAAATGAATTAAAAGGCTAACATTTGATTCTTATAAAAGCTAGAATCAGATTATTCAAGTTTTTCTCTGAAAGAAGTATAGTTTGATTATTAAAGTAATCAGGAAATAAACTTAAGCTTTGACTAGAGAACACATTTAATAAATGTTTCTGAATGATGATACTAGTGATTTGAATAAACTTAAAAGAATATGTAGACCATAAGTCATAGTCAAAGTGTATATTAAGTTATTAAATTCTATCCCATGTTGCTATACATCCTTAATCATGTAATTTCCTATTTCTTTGTCTCAGTTTTCCCATTAAATGATACTCACTCCCACAACATACAGTTCAGTGAAGTCTTGAAGATAAAGGAGGAATTGCTTACAATATGCTTTATGATTATTTGAATTAGTTAACATATGGAATACAACTTAATATTGTTTTTGGAAGACACTTTGGAGTTTTAAACATACTTCTTTATGTTTTTCATGTGAAATATATGCCATATGGTTAGTTTCCCCATTAACTAAATTAAACAGAAGATTGATTCTGGGAAACTTTTAAAACTTAGCCATGAGTAAATGCTAAGTATATAAAATTTAAAAGAAAATTCTTACATGAAGAGTATTTAGTAATGTGGATTTTATAATAAGATAAAACATTATTGGGCCAAATTGCCACAATTTAACAAATAACTTGTAAACACTATAAATAGATATAATTCCATCCTCCAATTTTAAACATGGATTTCCTACAATAATCAGATACAATATCCATATGTTGTATTCAGTGGAAATTCTTTTAATAATGAATAGACATAGAACAAATCATAATATCTGAGTATTAAAAGTCAACTAGTATCTCTAATGCTTGAAATTCTTTCTACAATATCCCCCCCAAGTGGTTGCTCAGCTAATGCCTGAAGTCTGACCATTTTTATCTGGACAGAAAGAAGTTCTTCCTTAAGATGAGCAAAATAAGCTGAACTCTATTTGGTTATTATCTCCTACCTAGCTGTCCCATAATCCTTGGATCCAAAGGAGAAAAAAAAAAATCAAACACCATTTCAAGTGCAAGCTCTTCCTAATAATTTTAAAAAATCATTCTTCACATGCCTTGGTTTCTAAAACTTCCTGGCGTTCGTACTCTTCTTAGTACTTTATCTTCTGTATGTCATCATGGGTATCCAAATTGTGGAGGGACCATTAGACTGCTAGAAATCACTTTTTTCAAATAGGCAAAAAAATAGGAATATTTAAAATTGCTCCTGGCTTGTTGTGCAATAAATATCCCTCTCTCATCCTCAAATGGCATTACAAAGGGGTAAGATGGCAAAGTTTGAAAAATGTTATATGTCATTATGTTATATTTCCTGAACTAAAAAGTAATATCTAAATATTCTAAAGGTAAGATTAATGATCTTAATCACTTTTTTCAGTAAGCCTATTATACTGTTGAGTACAACTGAGCTTTTATATCTCTTATCTCATCTTTAAGAGGATAATTACATTCAGAGGTAAAGAATCAGTTTTTTTTTTTTTTTTGGAGAGGTTTTTCGCTAATAGGGCACGTGCGCTCGCCAAACAGACAGAGACAGAGAGACAGAAAGCAAGAAATCACTCCCCAGGGCGGGATGGTCATGCCACAATCCTTTCTCCTCCATTCTCCTCTCGGGATCTTGGGCACGCACACACAAGCGCCTGGTGTGAATTTTAAGCCACCGGGTCCGGGAGCAATAAATATCCCTCTCTCATCCTCAAATGGCATTACAAAGGGGTAAGATGGCAAAGTTTGAAAAATGTTATATGTCATTATGTTATATTTCCTGAACTAAAAAGTAATATCTAAATATTCTAAAGGTAAGATTAATGATCTTAATCACTTTTTTCAGTAAGCCTATTATACTGTTGAGTACAACTGAGCTTTTATATCTCTTATCTCATCTTTAAGAGGATAATTACATTCAGAGGTAAAGAATCAGTTTTTTTTTTTTTTTTGGAGAGGTTTTTCGCTAATAGGGCACGTGCGCTCGCCAAACAGACAGAGACAGAGAGACAGAAAGCAAGAAATCACTCCCCAGGGCGGGATGGTCATGCCACAATCCTTTCTCCTCCATTCTCCTCTCGGGATCTTGGGCACGCACACACAAGCGCCTGGTGTGAATTTTAAGCCACCGGGTCCGGGACGCGAACCACAGTCGACTACGTGGGAGTCCAGCGACATAGCCATTATGCTAACTGCTGGTTCCCAAAGAATCACTTTTTATGACAAAGTAAAAAGTTGATTCAAAGAGTTTGGAGAATTAAAAAAATGACACATTTAAGTCTGTGGAGTATCTCATGGAGAAAAGAGCTTCTTAATACTTATTTATTCTTCATCTATCAATAAATAGTATGCTAAAGAGACTTAGTTTAGGTGTCCACAGATATTGGTCCAAATAAGTAAGACTGCAGATGGACAATAAAGAAACTTCAGTAGATTTCAGTGAACATTTAATTTGTTTTACCTGGGGCCATACTCCTCCAGATGTTGCCCGCTTTATTATTTCATTTATTGTGTTTTTTCGGGAATCTGGATCCACACGGGACACCAATACTGGTTGCACAGCCCGTAACAGTCCTTTAAAACAAACAAAAAGTCTAAATCAAGGCATGCTGTGGGGGCTAGATCCACTACTGCAATAACACTGATAAATCATAAAATAAATTTTATGGAAAACTAAAATGATGGGAAATAAAAGACAATATTTTTTTTAAAAAATTCAATTTGGTTTATTGAAAGTAGCTTCTAATTTCAAAGTGAGAGGCAATATTTATACCTAAAATATTTCATTGACTTAATAAAAATAAGCAGCATGAATATGAAAAGAAGCAGCAAATGCAATTTTCTCTCTAAAAGTCTTCTTCCCCAACTGATGTTAAACCTTTGTAATATATTACATTATATTTTTTTGTTTTATGTTAGAAATGCCCAGAAAACTGATTACGTGAATTCATAGTACACACAGGTAGGGGCAATTATTACTTACTTTACTAACATTTTCAGCACTACAGTCTTCTAAACAGATAGCTTCCCATCACATGCAAAATAAACCTCAATTTACCAAAAACTTATTGGTATATACATTACAGGAAAAGCCATATAATACATAGCACGGTTACATTAAAACACACACACAAAAAGTCCTAGACGAATGACAAAACTGCAAGAACTACTATTATTTCTTCAGAACACCAAGGCAGCATCAGGGAACTTTCACACCCTCTCTCTCATCACTTAATGCTTGCAATAACCTTGGGACAATTGGGAACAGTTACTTGGAGATCAAATTCCTTAGGGGGAGACCAAAGCATCTGGTGGGAAAAATACATCACTTGTTTCATTTGTTTTTTTATGGCAGGAAACACTGACTGTTCTACATCATAATTTTCAGAGTTATACTTCGGTCTCTCATGGAGATCACAGAGGCAATAATGAAGAAAACAGAGTTAGGAAAAAAGACTTAGTGCATTTATCAGCCTAATACCCTTAAGAGAAATAGCATGTAACCTGTGTTTCCACAGACTTTGGTTAAATTCTCTCAGAGGAAAAAAAAATCAAGCATTCTTAGTATTTGAAAATAGACATTATGGCCAAACATAGAATAGAAAAACATGATGATACAGTGATAATGATCATTTTTTTAAAAAAATTATGAGGCTGCAGATGGGAGAGTCATATTTTTTTACAAAAACATTTTTTCCATATAGTACCTCATTACAATGAAGATAATATGTTTGAAATGTTTCTAAATAAACTTATCAATAAAATATATATGCTTTTCAAAATGCAAAGCAAGCGTATAAAAATATTTTATCTATATTATTTTACAAGTACTTACTGCCAATCAGAGGGGCCTGTGCATTTTCATTTCGAGATACTATAGAAGGTAACCCAGCTACAATACAGGCAATTCCATCAAAAAAGGTTGAGTGAGGGGCAACAACAAAAATCGGTGCTTCCAAAGGACTTGCAATCTTTCCTTTCACAGTAATTATAAATCCCATTGAAAAGAACATGGCATGACCCAGAAACTTCAAAGCTGGTTGTGTAATTTTCCTTTGAAAATAAATATAGAAAAGCCATAATTAGCTTTGCTAATTGATGCTAGCAGTGGGGAAATACAATAAAAGCAAAATATATCAAAGCATTTCATTTTTAAACATGAGATAAAGAGAATAACAGCAAATATTTACATGGAGCTTTTTCTGCCATGTGCTAGGAATTATTCTAAATGCTTTACATATATTATTCTCTTTCATACACAGCCTAATTTTATAAAGTAGATAATATTTGTTATCCCCATTTTAGAGATGAGAAAACTATAACACAGAGAAGTAAAATAATTTGTCCAAGGACATGTGACTAGTAATGGCACAATTATTTAAAGCCATAAAAATGAATTTTCAAAGCATGTTCCTCCACTGTGATATTCAAATCAGTCTTGCCTGTCAAAGCAGTCACTTGAGAATCTACATTTGGGCAATGAAGATGTTTAAGCTCCCCCCAGAACACTTGGAGAACTTTCATGATGAAACTGTCCTTGGAATTATTTTAAGATTTCTTTTTTTAAGAAACTACCTTTTTTATAGTTCTTAGGCATTATCCAGAATCTTTGTACATAAATTTACCATCTCGCTTCCATGAGATAAAGATGCATCTAAGCAATCTCATAAATCCAGTTTTTTTTTTTCTTTTTTAGAGAGGTTTTTCTATAGGTGAGCATGTGCTCACCAGAAAGACAGAAAGGGACAGAGAGACAGAAAGTGAGAAATCACCCTCCAGGGGGGATGGCCACACTGCAATCCCTTCTCCTCCATTCTCCTCTTGGGATCTTGGGTGGGCATGCATGCACATGAGCCCTGTGTGAGTTTAAGCCACAGGGTCCGGGACTCGAACCGTGGAAAACTAAATGGGAGTCCAGTGACATAGCCATTACGCCATCTGCTGGTCCCTAGTTATTTAATTTAAAAAAATGATTCTAAAAGATTCTTCCATTGGGCCAGCAAATGGCATGGAGGTTAGGGTGGCTGGATCCCACATGGCCAATAGCACAGTTACAATCCCCAACCTGGCAGTTTGAAAAATACACCTGTGCCTACATGCCCAAAAACCCCAAAAGAAAAATAAGAGGAGAAGGGATTGTAGCATGGCCATCACCCCCAGGGGGATCTCTCCTTTTTTTCTCTGGCAAGCTCACATGCCTTATAGTAAAGTTAAAAAAAAAAAAAAAAAAAAAAAAGATTATGCTATCAACAATTACTTAATTCATTCAACTGTTCTGGACACACAAGGTTAGTCAAATTCAGTCTCTAACTTTGAAAAGCTCAGTCCAATAGAGAAACAAAAACCTATTCCTAAAAGTACAAAGACACTATATGAATAAGCATATAGTTTTTTTTTTCATAAAAAGTAAAGCATGTATAGCACTCACAAGGTAGCTAATGAGAGCTTTAAAAAGTGGACCCAACATTTATAAAAATTTAGTGAGAAGCTATTAGCAACTAGTTACTGAGGAAATTTCTGTGATTTTTATTTCATAGCAAGAAGTAAGACACAGAAAACCTAAGTACTTTTCCAGAGGGCACAAGGAAATAACTATACCTCCTCTTCTTTCCCTTTAGTTAACAGATGAGATATCTCTTTATATAAGGATACAAAACACATTTCTTCACCGAGTTTCCATATCTCTCTTTTTTAAAATCAACATTGATGTATCTTCCTATAATTACATTCAGACTATCCCATATTCCAAGCCATTAAATGCTTCTATTTAAAGGTTTAATAAAAGGCTAGAAGTTTGATTCCACATAATAACTTCAATAGTATCTGTATGTGATGAGATAAAAGTACCCATTTGATTGACAAAAGTAAAACTTTTTTCTTCTTAAAATCTGTTGTACCTGTTTTCTGGATTCTTAGACTATTTCTTCCATCATCCTAGGTTTTCATTAACTACTAACAATAGAAACCAGAGATAATTCCAAAGAAATTGGAGAGTCATGAAAAATATCCCTTGAAGTTTAATTTTATACCATACAACCTTGAGTTAAAAAAGATGATTTGCAAGGACATTTTAACATTAGTAAACTATAAGTTCAGGCCAGTCCCTTAGCCTGGTTGGTTAAGGAAGCTGGATCCCACAGGGCTAATTGTGTGGCTTGAGTGTTGGACCTGGGAGCTTGAGGTTTCTCTGGGGTATTGCCAGTACTGAATTTATTTCCACTTCAAACTAGCCTTGTGTTTGATATTGACATTCGTTCACTAGAACATGAACTGACCGGCAAACTATATATTTCTTTAAAAGTTTATAGAACAATATTTCTCAAATTTTTTGGAAGATGTATCAGCATTTGAGATTTGGATGAAAGGAATATATCCTTGTGTATAAAAAAATTATGCACAATTTCAGAGAGTTCCACAGTACCTAAAGTCCATTTACAAACTTGAAATCCATGAGGAATTCATAGGGTCCATGTTAAGAGGCCCCACCTTCAGGAAATACAAATGGCAACAATTTGGTTCTTCTCATTAGAAATTAGAAGAACCCAATCCTATTATGAGTATCTTCCTTAATTAATGATCAATCCATTCTCTAATACCATCCTAATTAGATAGTACTTGAGAAACAGTTTCTTGCCTCAATGCTCCTGTTCAGAAAACCTTGGCTATATTGATGAATAATTAAATTCTTAATATAATAATATAAATAGTCAACTTAGTTATGCCACTATAACGAGCATGTCATTAACATAGATGGACGAAAGCAAATACAAAAACTAAGAAAGGAAAAAACATGGTATTTTGTAACTACAATAATTTTGGATACACTAAGGAATTAGGGATCTAATTAGTATATTCTAATGTGATACAGGGATGTATCATATTTTAGAAATAGCTCAGATAATAGAATATTTTAACATTAGTAAATTATAAGTTCAGGCCAGTCCCATGGCCTGATTGGTTAAGGAGGCTGGATCCCACATGGCTGATTGTGTGGCTTGAGTCCCGAACCTGGGGGCTTGAGAAACAAACTGGGCACAAATGCATGTGTATCTGAAATTTTTTTTTTTTTGGAGAGGTTTTTGCTATAGGGCACATGCACTCACCAGAAAGACAGAGAGAGACAGTGAGACAGAAAGCAAGAAAACACCCCCCAGAGGGAATGGCCACACTGCAATCCCTTCTCCTCCATTCTCTTCTCGGGTTCCTGGACATGCATGCACACACGCCTGGCGTGAGTTTAAGCCACGGGATCCAGTACTCAAACTGTGCTTGACTACATGGGAGTCCAGCGACATAGCCATTATGCTAACTGCTGGTCCCTGGATCCAAAATTCTGAGAGGAGGGAGAAAAAGTGGAAAAGGGATTGTAGTGTGACCATTCCCCATGGGGGCAGTGCTTTCTCTTCTCTTTCTCTCTGTCTCTCTCTCTCTGGTAAGTTCATGTACCTACTAGCAAAAAAGGGGGAGGGGGGACTATAACTTCAATAGAAGAGTCTCATAATATGCTTGGGCAGTAATTTCTACATATGATAAAAATTAAGACCAATTTCCTCTGAGAAACAAAAATAAATTATTATTAAGAAGTAGCAGTTAGATGAAACTATTAATCACTGACTAAACTATAATAAACCCTTTTAAATTTTGATTTACCTAATATTTGGATAATTATTTCTTACCTCCTCCAACCAGTTATTGGATGAGTCAACTTTTCAGGACAGCATACTGTTGAAATTACAGCAAATGGCCACGCCAATAATATAATTAATGCAATTAACAGGACACGAATTGGAAGCAGGATAATTCCAAGAAGGAAAATCTGAAAGCCAAAGTTGATAAAAATAGATGGATGAATGAACACTATTTTAATATACAGTTATAAAACAGAAACATATAGCAAGAAAATATTTGCTATTCATGCATTCACTCAAGATGTATTGAGTACTTCCCTGTACCTGATGAAGATTTAAGGACAAGGAAAAATAAGACATTATATCTGACTTCACAAAGCTTCATTATGTAGCAAAAGAAACTTAAGAAAATTACAAGACAATTTAGTCCATATCTATAAAAGTGACTATAAAATGTTGGGAACAAAGAAAAGGTATGCCTGACTTAGAAAACTTCCTGGAAGGGTTGCAGCCTGAATTGTCTCCATAGAAGCAGGAGATAGCAAGGTAAGAGTTCAAAAATTTCTTGTTGAACTATAGGAAGAAGGAAGAGTATGGATAAAGGCATTAGAGTGTGAGGAAGTAAAAAAATACTGTTTCATATATCTGCTAGTTCTTTGTAACTAATAACAGTAAGGAGATGAAGGAGAGAATAAAATTAAAAAGGAAAGTAACTATATAACAATAGCAAATAGGTACTCTTAGCACCTATTAAGTATAACTTCTTTAGTTTTTACAACCTTAAATTGTTTTACAAAGAGAAAGAAGTGTCACCAAGGGAGTTAAAATTAAATTACTTAAGATGACACAGTTACTAAGTGGCAGAACCAGAATTTGAACCCAGTTTAATTACAAAGCCTTTACTCTTAATTTATTTATTGTCAGAGGGACTCGCCTGTACATTAGGGAGAGAGAGAAAAAACACACCATCCAATGGGCCATGGTCATGCTGTAATTCTTTTTCCTCCATTTCTCCATCCTGTCAGGACTTGGGGTATACACATATCAGGTATGTTTATGGACTTAAACTGAGGTAGGCCATGTGGGATCCAACTTTGTATGCATAGCACTTAACTGCTGTACTACATGGCCACACTACAATCCTTTTTCCTCCATGCTTCTCCTTGGATTTTGGGCATGCACACACACATGCCCAGTGTGATTTTCAAGACACCGAGTGTGGGACTTGAACCATGATTGGCCAGTCCAGCACCATAACCTCTATGCCACCTGATGGCCCATAAAGCCTTTGCTCTTAATCCTTATGCTATACTACTTTTTAAGTGAAATAAACTGTCCTGTGTGTAACACGTCTTTTTTCTGTAAGTCAATTACATTTCTCAAACAATGACATCTTTCTGTCTCTAGTGGCCCTTATATGAATATAATCATCCTCAATAATTTTTGAAAAATTCTGAAAATATTCTAGTTATCTGAACTCTGTCAAGTTATTTACAGGCTTGTGTGTGTTTGAGTAAAAAGTACTCACATGGGGACCAGCAGGTGGTATAGTGGTTAAGGCGCTGGACTCCCACATGACCAACTGCAGTTTGAGTCTAGGACCTGGTGGCCTGAAAAACTGTACTGGGCGTGTGTGTGTGTGTGTGTGTGTGTGTGTGTGTGTGTGTGTGTATGCCCAAAATTCCAGAAGGAAAATGGAGAAGGGATTGTGGCATGGCCATCACCCCTTATGCGGTAATTTCTCACTCTCCCTCTCACTGTCTCTCTCCAGCAAGTTCATACACCCTATGGCAAAAACCTTAAAACAAAACAAAACAAAACAAAACAAAACAAAACAAAACAAAACAAAACAAAAATCTACACAGAAATGTACTGATCTTAAGTGTACAATTCAATAAGCTTTGATAAATATAATCAAATAATCATCACACCCAAGCAAGCACAGAAAATATCTACCACCTAGAAGTTGCCTTGTGTTTCTTCCAGTAAATCCCTACATGCCTAAGGCAATCAATGCTGGATTTATATCAGCATAACTTAGTTTTTTTCTGTTCTTGAATGCCACATAAATTGAATGATACATTATGCATTCTTGTGTCTCTAATGTCTTCCAATTAACATATTTTTAAAAAACTCAACTATGTTATTTATTCATTTTGATTGCATATATCAGTAATTCATTCATATTCATTGCAGAGCATTATTCCACTGTAATAACAATTTATTTATTGAGTCTCCTGTTGATGAACATTTGGGCTGTTTCCAGATATCTGCTTTTATGAATAGGGTCATTATGAACATTCTTACACAAGCCTTTCTGTGGATATATGGTTTCACTTCTCTTAGGTAAATATCTAGGAGTGGAATTGCTAGGGCACATATGTTGTTTAACTTTATAAAAATTACAAAACATTTTCCCAAAATGGTGATCTCATTTTAAAATGTCACTGGCAATGTGTGAGAATTTAAGTTCCTTCATATTACTGTCAATATTTGGTACTGATAGTCTCTGTTAAAAATCAATTTTATTAAGGTATAATTTACATAAAATAAAATGTACCTATTTTAAGTTAAATTTTGAGGGTTTTCTTTCACTTTTTTTTTTTTTGGAGAGACTTTTTCGCTATAGGGCGCATGCACTCGCCAGACAGACAGAGAGAGACATAGAGACAGAAAGCGAGAAATCACCCCCCGGGGGGATGGTCACGCTGCAGTCCCTTCTCCTCCATTCTTCTCTCGGGATCTTGGGCCCACACGCACACGCGCCCGGCGTGAGTTTTAAGCCACCGGGTCCGGGACGCAAACCGCGGTCGACTACGTGGAAGTCCAGCGACATAGCCATTACGCTAACTGCTGGTTTCCAGATTTTGAGGTTTTCAAATGTGTACCACTATGTAATCACAACAATCAAGATATTTTCATCCCAAAAAGTTCTCTTGTGCCCTTTGCAGTCAGTAAACCCTTCCTGATCCCAGGCAACCACTGAGAGACTTTCCTTCACACAGTTTTACCTGTTCTAGATTTCCATATAAACGAAACCCCACAATACATGGTTTAGTCACTTCCTATTTTGAGATTTAATCATATTGTCATTTAATCATCTAATCATTTAATCACATTATTAGTTTACTTTTGTTAAGTACAGACTATTATGCCACTGTAAGAATATATCTCAATTCACTTATCATTCACATGTTCATGGACATTTAGCCTTTTATAAGTTTTTAGCTATCATGAGTATAGCTCCTACCAACAGTGATTTTTCAAGTCTCCATGTGAACATACATTTTCATTTCAATGGAAATAAAATTATTGGGTCACAGGGTATGTTTAATTTTATAAGAAACTGAAAAATTCTTTTCCAAAATGGCCACACCATTTTATCTTTTATTTATTTTTATTTTTTTTCCTTTAAAAATTTTTTAAACTGTTTTATATAGAGCACATGTGCTTGCCAAAGACAGATAGGAAAAGAAGGAAAATGAGAAGTCACCCCTCAGGGGCAGCCATGTACCATGATCCCTTCTACATTCTCCTCCTGGGATTTTGGACATGCAAGGACACATTACCAGCATGATTCTCAAAGTCACCAGCTCCAGGACTCAAACCACAAAGACGGTCATGTGGGATCTAGCGCCATAACTTTCATGTCACCTGGTGGCCCAGCTGTACCATTTTATATCCCTACTAATAAGGTATGAGAGTTTCTGTTGCTCTACATCCTCACCAACAATTGGTGTTATCTGTCTTTTTAATATTAGCCATTCAAGTGAATATAAAATGATATCTCGATGTGGCTTTAATGCATATTTCTCTGATAAATAATGATGTTAAGCACATTTTTCATATACTTATCATTCCTTCAACTTCCTTTAAGTGTTCAAGTTTTTGGCCCATTATTATTAGATAACTAGCCTTTTTCTCATAAATTTATAGTAGTGTAGGAGTCAGCCGACAAGCTTAAGGGTAACATCTCTCTGGATGGTGATATTGTCAGCATCTGTCCTCGGGGCATGGTCCTATGAAGGAGAGAGTTAGAGAAAAGAAGGAAAGAAAGACACAGAAGCAGAAGATGCAGGTGAACACAGACAAGGTGTGCTGCTCAGTCATACTGAGCTTCTTTATTTATACATTTTAACAGGCACAGTGAACTGTTTGCAAGGCTTTCAAGGATGCGGTTGAAGTTCTACAGTTAGAGATAAGGACTTTAGTGTAGATGTTTTTTGACCCTCTTACTATCATGTGTGATCCTAGTATGCATCATAGATCAAGCCAGTTTACTTAAACTGTTCTTCTGCAACTCCAAGGAAGGTGTCTGAGTATGCATAAAAGAGGATAATGTGTAAGCCATAAACATTATATAGAACAGGCATCACATGACCTAGCCAGGGTCTGGATGTTTCCCGTGCCCTAGAGATCTTATCTGCAGAGCCCCTCGTAATTAAGGCATGTGTCAGCCTGTTTTAGTGAGGTATACTGTTAACTGCCTTCCATATCTCTGCTGCATATCTACTCATAGTAGTTATTTGAACTATTGATTATTTAGAAGTACATAATCGAATTTCCACAAATTTTTGAATTTCCCAAGTTTTCTTCTGTTATTCATCTCTAGTTTTAGTACATTGTGGTCAGAGAAGAGCTTTGCAGTATTTTAATGGCTTTACAGTTATTGAGACTTGTTTATGGGCCTCTATCTTAGAGAATGTTCCATGGACATTAGAGAAGAATGTGTTTTCTGTTGTGGATGATGTTCTACATATATATCTGATAGAACTAATTGGTTCATAGTGTTCAAATCTGTTTCCTTGTTCTGTTTCACTCTTCTCCCATTTATTAAAAATGGGTAATTGAAGTCTCTATTATTAAATTGTCTATTTTGCCTTTCAATTCTGTCAATTTTTGCTTTGTGTATCCTGGGTTTTTATTGTTAGGTGCATACATGGTTATAATTGTTATATTTTCTTAATGTTTCAATTCTTTTATTATCAAATGCCCTTTTCTGTAACTATTTATTTTAAAATCTATTTATCTGATATCAACATAGCCATTTCAAGTCTTTCTCAGGTTTTTCTTTTGCATAATACATTATTTTTTAAACTTTTACTTCCAACCTATTTGTCTTTGAATCTCATGTGCAATGCTTTCAGAAGGCATGTAGGAGAATAATGTATTTCCCTTTTACTCTTTTTTTTTACTTTTTTTTTTTTTAGTTTGCTATAAGGCACATGTGCTCACCAGAGAACAGACCACAAGAGTGAGAGCAAGGGGGAGAGAGAGAGAGAGACAGACAGACAGACACCATGGGGGGGATGACTATGCCACAATACCTTCTCCTTCAATCTCTTCTTGGAATTTTGGGGTATGCATGTACATGTGCTCAGCATGATTTTCAAGCTGTCATGTTCCAAGAATAAACTGTGCAGCCAGTCATGTGGGATCCAGTGCTTTAGTGATCACAATGCCTACTATCCCAGGATTATGTATTATTATCCATTCTATTAATCTTCCTTTTCACTGGAGTGTTTAATCAATTTATATTTAATGTAATACTGATAAGGTAGTATTTATATATGTCATTATGCTGTTTGTTTTCTATGTGTTATATCTTTTTGTGTTTCTCTGTTTCCGTTGATGGGTTCTTTAGCGTTAAATACATATTTTCTTTTTTTATTTACTCATTCATTTCTTTTAATTTGACCAGAGAAAGACAGACACATAGACAGAAGGAAAGTGAGAAAGCAAGCCAGCAGGTCCAGGACTTGAACTGTGGTCGGCCATGTGGGAGTGTCCAGCATCTTAATCACTATGCCATCTGCTGGCCCTAAATACATATTTTCTATTGTGCCATTTCACTTGCCTTGTGGTTTATTTTACTATAGTTAAAATATTATTTTCTTAGTCATTATCCTAAGGGTTGTCATTTTAAACTTATACTTGGGGTAATGCCAATTTAATTTCAATAGTATAGAAAAATTGTGCTATAGCTCCATTCACTCCCTCTTCCTATTTGCTAATATTGTCATACAAATTGCATATTTATATATTACATGTCCATCAACACAGACTTACAATTGTTATTTTATGTAGATATTTTTACAATCATATAGAAGAAAAAAGATTTACAAACAAAAATTACATTTATACTGTCTTTTATAACTACTCAAGTACTTATCTTTACCAATGCTCTTTATTTTTCATGTGGAACTGACTTACTGTCTAGTATCCTTTCATTTCAGACTGAGGGGTTCCCTTTAGTATTTCTTTCAGGGTATGTAGACAAATTATCTTGGTTTTTTGTTCATTTTTACTTCATTTTTGAAGGATGGTTTTCTTGCTATACAATTCAAGTATGCATCCTACTGCCTTCTTTCCTTAATGGTTCTGTTTTTGTTTATTTGTTTTCTCTTGTTTTTCAATAAGTAATAGCTTATTAATTATTTAAAATAGAATAATTTTTAAGATAGAGTCTCACTCTATTTTTAGAAATTCTAAGATGATTCTCCTGCCTCAGGCTCCCAGTTGAACTCTAGGTACACACTACTACATCTGGCTCTTTTTCAGACAGGGTTTCACTGTGTTGCTCATGCTAGCCTCAAATCCACCATTCTCCTGCCTCAGCACCTCCCCCTCCCCCCAAGTTTCTGGTATTACAGACTCATGTCACCATGCCTGACCTCTAGGTTGGATCAAGAATTGAACCTGAGTCTCCCATGTAGTCCCAGCCTGTAGAGCACAGCATCTTGGCAGCACATACCACCATGGCTGTGGCCTCTAAGATTCCTGATGAACAATCAACCATTAATCTTATTGAGGATCCTTAGAGAGTTGCACCTCTCTGCTTTCAAGATTTTTTTCTCTTTGGCTCTCAATAGTTGATTATGGTATTTTTAGATGTAGATATCTTTTAGTATATTCTATTTGAAGTTCCTTGAGCTTTGTAGTTATGCAGATTAGTATCATCATATTCAGTAAGTTTTGGCCATTAATTCTCCAAATATCTTTTTCTCTCTTCTCTCCCATGGGACTTCATTATGAATACATCAGTATACTTGACATATTTTCCTGTTTCTTTGGATTTCTAGTATTGTTTTTACAGTATATTGGCCATTTTGGATGATGTATCACAAATACCTGGATTCTGTTATTCTTCCCTGAAGATAATAAATTTTTGTCCCAACTAGTATTTTACATACTAGCTGATCACCTTCACCTTGTGGAGATTTTGTTTTACAATTTCATTTGGGAAACTTTGTTTGCCATTTGTGTTTAGTCTTACACTGAAGCCTTAGTCCTAGGACACAGCTTTTTTTTCTATGGTATCACCTTTGTGAGGTTTCAGTGTAAAGTCTGAAATAATGACCAAGGCCTTCTTATTAGGTGGGACTCTAACTGTGCCTCTTCTCTGGTTACTGCCAGTTGCAACATCTGCTCAGTTTCTTTATCCTCCCACTTGTTGCTTTCCTCTGAGGTCTTTGAAGGCTGCTTTAATACAATTCAGGGATCAGTCAAGGATTTCAGAGAAATTTATGTGCCAGTTTGAGGACACCTTCATCTGTGGTTTCTGCCATTCTGAGATTTCTTCACTCAATTTCCAGTCACTTTGCTAGTCCTGAACTGTCTTCTGATTTCTCAAGGCAATAAGACTGATACTTTCTAGTAAATCTTTCATGGGAATATCTCCCGTGGTAGATATCAAGTAGGAAGCCTCAGGAGAAAAGGGAGGGGAGGGGTGAAAAAAAGTCTCGCATAGTTACAAATACTGTTTCAATGAAATATTCCCCCTAATTCCTGTCTTATTTTTGTTTCCTGATAGTGCCTTCATATTGTTTTTTAAATATTTTGACCAGGGTTTATAATTATTATCTATGGGAAGGTTTGTCTGAGTTAAGCTATTCCATCATTTCTGGGACCAAAACTAGCCCTGTTAAATTATTTTTCCCTTGAAAAAATGACTTGTAAATATAGTGAAATTTTGCTATCATTCTATAAAATACAACATGTATAAGGTAAGACAAATAAGAACTCCAGAACTTGTACAATGAAGGGATCTTGAATCTAGGAGGTTTTCTTCCAGCTCTGAGTATACTGTAAGCACACTATTTTAAAAATAAATTTATATATATTTGGAGTGGATGGGATAATAAAGGTGGGGAACAGCACTGAAAGGAAGATGAGATGACTACAATTCCCAAGGCATTCTCAGGGATTATTGGCTTCCAAGAGGTCTCAGTAGTACAAGACCAAGGAAAAATCTTAACTGCAAAACACGACCATAGTCTAAACCCTGAAAAAAAAGTTAGAGGGGCCAGCAGGTGGCACAGTGGTTGAGGGCGCTGGACTCCCACATGGCTGACAGTGGTTCAAGTCCCGGTCCTGGCAGCTTGCTTTCTCTCTCTCTGGTCAAATTAAAATAAAATAAATGAATAAATAAATAAAGTTCAATTTTAAAAATTCTTTAAAATTTATTTTAAAAAGAATTGGAATGAAGTCAAAGAATATTCACATAGGATTCATTTGTATCCACATTGGGTAACCAATATCAATTTTAATTGAGTAAGTTGTCAAATATTGGGCAACTTTTTTTCTGTGCCATTTTTAAGATTTGTAACAAAGAGCAATACTTTATGATAAGCCAATTTTGATGTAACTCTCACAAATTAAGAGAACTCTTCATAATATTTTCATTTGATAATGTCATCTCTACAGTATTAAGAGAGGACTTTCCTCAAGGTTATTCTCTGGTTTTCTCCCACATAATTTACTAAGACACAGAATTACATATTTTTGTACCTGTTTAACTTTCTTGGTGAAAGTCAGCTTTGAATAGGTAGGATCCTTATTTCTCTTGGCCACTAGTATATCTCCAGAAACTGGCACTGAGTCTGGGGTACTGCAGGCATTCAACAAATATTTTGGTGTGAATAAATGAACCTACATTATAACCAAACACTCATTTAAATTCCATACTCTATTGAGGAAATTAAAACTAAACTTTTACTACAGACCTTTAGTTAAAAATAGGAGGGGAGCCAGCAGATGCCACAGAGGTTATGTTGCTGGATTTTCACATGGCTGGCTGCAGTTTGAATCCCAGATCCAATGGCTTTAAAACCACACTGGGCACATGTGCATGCATGCCCAAGATCCCAGATGGAGAATAGAGAAGGGATTGTGGCGTGGCCATCTTCCTGGGGGGTGACTTCTTGCCTTCCCTCTCAGTGTGTCTGTCTCTGTGTCTCTCTCTCCCTTTGGCAAGTGCACGCACCCTAAGGCAAAAATCTCTTAACAAAAAAATAAGATAGGAGGAGAAGCAAAGTTAAGCTCTATCCTGAGATGGAAAACTGACAACACAATTTAAGCAAGACACTGGTCATCATTTAAGATTACATTTAGTCAAGATCAATTATATTAAATCATAGTTAATTGAAAGTACTGTCAATCCTCAACTTAAAAAGATTTGACTCATGTTTTTTTTTTTTTTTTATGTAGTGATGGATTTATCGAGTAGGAATTCATGGAGCACCTATATGCCCATCTTTTAAACTGGATAATATAGAAAGCATTATTTTTCAGCCATGCCTATTAAAATGTTCTCTTTATTCAGATAATTCAAGTCATTCAAATGTCTTTGATACTTCTGATCTACATATAAATTTTAAAAAATAATTTCTGTAAAAAATATCCAGACCATTTAAGCCATTGAATCTTCATTGGTATCTCTGGACTATATGGATTTAAAAAATACATATTTAATGTCTGGACCATATTCAATTCCACGCAATCCAAGTAGCAAATATTAAATATAGCACACAATCTGTAGATAACAAAAAGAATGAGATAACCATTAAATTAAGATTAGCAAGCAATATCAATGTTCTTTAACATCTAACTTCACTTAATTTTAATGCTCTTTTGAGGTATTATTAGTCCAATTTAATAGATGAGAAAAGTGGAAATTCTGAGACATTAAATGGAGTGGCCAAAGTCAGACAACTAATCAAATGACCAGGTCTTCTGATTAAGACTAATGTTCTTTCCAATATATTACAAAGAGTTATTTGGAAGAGCTCTTTAAAGACTAACAGTTCAGGTAGTTATGACTGATTTGACTAAACCAGGCTTAACTTAATCTTAAACAATAGTCAATGTATTTAGAAGAGTTTTAGACTTTTCAAGATACAAAGGGAACATTTATCCATTTAAAGATATGAAAATCAAAATTTTAAACTTTCTTGGGACCAGCAGATGGGGTAATGGCTACATCACTGAACTCCCATGTAGTCAACGGCAGTTCAAGTCCTGCACCCTGCAGCTTAACTCAGGCCAGGCGTGTGTGCGTGCATGCCCAAGATCTAAGAGGAGGATGGAGGAGAAGGGATTGCAGCGTGGCCATTCCCCTGGGGGGTGATTTCTCACTTTCTGTCTCTCTCTGTCTTTCTGGCACATGCACATACCCTATAGCAAAAATCTCTCCAAAAAAAGAAAAAAAAAAGCTTTCTTTGCAAAAAGGTATTACTACATTCATTATCTTCCTCTTCCTCTCTCATACCCTTCTTCAACTAGATACATCTACTCTTCCTCTACCATCACCATGCTGCTTAGTTCCACATTTAATCTGCCCACCACTGTAAAGAACAATGGTCTTAGTACATAAAAACAGACTGTGAAAAAATTACTGCTTCGAATCCAAAGTAATGTATGAGATAGGAAAAGATCAAAACCTTTTGTTTCTCACAAGGACACACAGGAAAATGCAGTTTGCATAGTCAATCTTGTTCTCTGATCAGTAACTTCAACATAGAGGAAGTCCAAAGAGTGCATGTAACTACTAATGATAAAAACAGCTTTTTACAAGAAAAAGGAAAGGAAACTTCCTTGGGTAGATAGCCATTTTTAATAGTGAAAGAGTCCAGGTTACCTCTCATCCTTGAATCTAAGGAAAGTATTTGAGTGAAGACAGATTCAGGACCAAAAACTTTTGGACACATTAAGCTGACTTAAGGTTATTTCTTTTCTTTGATTCTGATTTCCTACTCTAGATGCACCTGTTCAGCTGGATCATTCCAGCCTTACCAGTTTTAATTCCAGACTAGGGCTCTCTGCCTTCTCCCTCAAGCTACCCATCCCAGACTGGATCCTCTCCTTCCCTGAGAAAAAGAAAAAGGTCTTCCCAAATGCACTCTCTTGTGATAGGTCTGCCTCCCACTACAGTCTCACAAACTCAAGTAGAAGTTCCTGTTGAAGATTGATTTCCCCCTTCTCAGGCATGGAAGGTCTCTGCCACAGGAAGACTCAGCCTCCCTCGGTTTCAGATCCTCATCTCAGGTCCACTTCTCTGCATCTTCGTTCTCATACATCCCTTCGGACCATCCTCCAAGTGTCCTCCAGTCTCAGACCTGCATCTCTGTATCTTTCAGACTCACGGCTCCTCAGGAGTTTTCTCCTCTGCGATATACAGTTCCTTTTCCCTCAGCTCCCTTTACTTCCCACATCCAAGTTCTCCTCAGACACCAGCCCTGTCAGCCCCAAGCTCCCTGCAGACCACTTCCCAGCAGACTCACGCTGCACTACCACCGAGTCCCTCCTCAGATCCCCCTCAGACCACCTCCCCTGTCCGACCCACGCCCCCTCAGACCAACTCATCTTTTCTAGCCCTGCTCAGACCACCTCCCCTGTCACACTCACGCCCTCCTCAGATCCCCCTCAGACCCCCTCCCCTGTCCGTCCACCTCCCCTGTCACACTCGCGCCCTCCTCAGATCCCCCTCAGACCACCTCCCCTGTCACACTCGCGCCCTCCTCAGATCCCCCTCAGACCACCTCCCCTGTCACACTCGCGCCCTCCTCAGATCCCCCTCAGACCACCTCCCCTGTCACACTCGCGCCCTCCTCAGATCCCCCTCAGACCACCTCCCCTGTCACACTCGCGCCCTCCTCAGATCCCCCTCAGACCACCTCCCCTGTCACACTCGCGCCCTCCTCAGATCCCCCTCAGACCACCTCCCCTGTCACACTCGCGCCCTCCTCAGATCCCCCTCAGACCACCTCCCCTGTCGGACTCGCTCCCCCCTCAGACCACCTCCCTCCTCAGATCCCCTCTCAGGTCACCTCCCAGCAGACCCGCGCCCCCTCAGACCACCTCCCCTCTCACACCCACGCCCCTCACCTGGGCCCGCCCCGCCGGGCCAATCCGCGTCTGCTGCACGAAGGGGT